CAATCATAGTTTCCCAGAATAATAACAATTTAAAAATGCGTACGAATTAACACTGAAAAAAGAAATTGAATAAATTATCTCATTAAATATATATACAAACATTTTTTTAATACATAGAGACGGTAAAAACCGTGAAAAATTACAAAAGTTAGATTAAATCAAAATTCAAGATGATCCTGTATCTTATAAATGGTTCATTATATACAAACATTTTTGCAAGGTCAAGAGTATGCTCATTCACATGAAACCACACGCGAGAATTTTGATCTCCCACGAACTGTATGTAAGGGTTCAAAACTCCATAAATCACCAGTTAATTTATTAACCAACAAATTATTAACTTTAGTGAATGAATGAATCCCTATTATTTCAATATACATGTTTGTTAGTTCGCTAGCTTTGTCACTTTCACCATCAAATGAGGAGAAATTAATTAACATCACCTTTTAATAAAATCAAGGGCTTAAAAATTGATTATCCTATCCACCGTAAACGAAGTTGATCAACGTGTCTAAAAGTTTTCAAAGTAAAGCTTGCAACTTTAACTTTGTAAAAAGAAGCAAGTGCTTCATGCATGCATGTGGCCCTACATTATTGGATAGATTAAGGAAAACCTTTAGATGGGACCTTTGACGCAAGACAATGAAAAAGAGGACATCAAATTTTTTAAAATCTCACTGAAGGACCCGTATGAAATTTTTTATAAATTTGTAATAAAAATGATAAAATTTTTTTCATTTAAATGAATAATATAAACAATTTGTTCGTTCCCATACAATGTACCTTTCATTTACTTATGAAATATTATTTGCTTTCCTACTTTACTTATTTATAATTCTATTTTCACTTGATTTCATTTCAAATATTGATTTGTGATAAGACAACTTATTCGTTACTATACCATATATTATTCATTTACTTGCAAATGTTGTTTGTTTTCCTACTTTATTTATTTATGGCCCTTAAAATGAAATCAAGTGAAGTAGGGAACCAAACAATATTCAAGAAGCAAATGAACAATACGCAGTGTAAGAAAGAACAAGTTGTTTATATTGTTTATTTATATGAGGATAATTTTATCATTTTCGAGACAAATTCAAAAGAAATTCCAAACGGGTCCTTCAGTGAAATTTTAAAAATTTCAAAATCTTCTTTTTCATCATCTTAGGTCAAGGTTCCCGCCTGAAATTTTCCCCCAAATTAATTCATCATATGTATAGAGGTCAATCAATTAAAAGGAGAATAATATTAAAATCCTAGAATAAAAAAATTTGATAATTAGATTCTGGATAAATTTTTTAGAAAAATCAGTTGCAAATATTGATTTAGATTATTGTAAACTTAGAAATTTTAATTATAAATAAAAGATTTAAATTTCAAACATAATTTTCAGTTGATAGTTGCAATACCTATTTACAACTATCTACATTAATATTTATAATTTATTTTAAAAAAATTTGCAAGGGATAAATTTTTTATTTTGAAATTTTATTGTCCTTCTCTCAACATTAAAGGCAAGTGATTTTGTTTATCATACCCACCTTAGATTCGATTAATATATTGATATTGGCAACAAGGACACTGCCTTTTGCAGCCATCAAAACTTCATGAAAAATATATGACAATGCAAGGATCCAATATTGCACATGGAACAATTCCACATTATAAAATATTCACGTCAACAAAATTCAACTAACCCACATCAATTTTTTTTTTAAATTAGAATATCACAAATCCACAGTACACATACAAAATATCTGTCTTCGTTCAAGCTAGATTTTGAAATATTATATAAATATTAATAAAATAGTCAAGATTAATCCACCACTTTGTCGTCCCTGCTCCCTATCAAAACATAGGCCTAGAAAATTATTTGCTCTCAGCTTTAGAAGCCATAAGACATACATACAGTATGCCTACCAGCAGATTGTTTCCCAAATTTGCTACATTATTATTCCTTTATAATCATGTGAGATTGTCATCATTTAATCCAATAGTTAGTGTTTGAATTTCAATCCTTATATATATAATAATTTAATTTAAATATGTTTAAAATTATCATTGCTATCGACGGAAACTGTTGGTCAAAAAATATTACAATATAACAAGATGTGGGGTGGGCATTACATTACGTGGACTTTGAGAGATGAATAGCGTTTGTAATCACTCGTAGCGTTGTTTTTTCTTATTTTGGTCAACTTTATTGATTGAAACAGAGTGATGGTTTGTAATAAATTTTGTAATTTATATTATTATTAGTAATGTTTCATTCATTATATATATACGAATGAGAGAGTAGATCTCAAACAATATTTTATCCAAGTACGTGGAATTATAATTAACAAGGACATTTTCCCCTCCAAAAACGAGGCATGTGACAGCTTTCAATGATTTATGCAAGTGCATGGAAATTGTGTCAGGCCATCTGGGCTGTTGGTTTGAACTTTGAAATCGCAGTGATTTTCGATTTATTTTAATGATTTTAATTATTAAGTTCTTGAAAAATGTCCATTGGTTTTAACTACTAGCAGTACTTTTTTTAATGAAGAAGAAAGAGTAATGAGGTTGTCGCACATGGGAAATATAAAAAGAGGGAAATTAGAAGCGTAATGATAAATGATGGGTTGATTAATAATGTAATGTGAGTTTGTTATGTAATGATGCAGAGTGAAATGTGAAGGCAAAGCGGGAGAGTTCTAAGGTGATGTGATGCGATGACCCTTTCCACGTTCACACGAATCATGATGCTTCTCCATATTAAACTCTGCCGGCCTAGGGTACACCTTCTTCCAGGGAAAAAATCGATTTCCCTCCTCCAAAATTAATTTTTTCAACAAATTGTCCAAACAGTCAAAATAAAACAAAAATTAAATCTCGCATGCGCGTTTTTTCATAAGCTGATGGAATCAGCTTTTGCCAAAATTCATAAAAAACGTTGGAAAAAATTACAAAAGAAAACCCACAAGAAAATTACAAATAAAAACACAATTTAATAAAAATAAAATTAAACTCTTTTCTCTTCTCTTTTTTTTCCTTAATAAAATTCAAATTTTATATCCTCAAAAATTAATTTTTTATATTTAAAAATTAATTATATAGTAATTTATATAACTAAAATTGATTCTGATTAAATTATCCAAACATTTTCAATTCTATTAAAATCAGTTTTAAAAAAATAGTATCCAAACAGATTGCGACATAACATAATCAATTATGATTAAAATCTACTACTTAATTAATTATTTTCATAATTTATTATACCCAACTAAAATCCTAACGGACTCTTCATGTAGGGAGAGCAACGCCACACAAAGAGTCAAATTAAAATTTCACTTTTTAGAGTTGAAAATCTGTGTCGGATGGGTAAGTCTAAAATGCCTGGGTTGGGTTAAAAAGAAATTTATCTAAATAAAAGTTTATTTTTTTATCCCAAACTAGATAACCCGTTAACTAAATTGCCTAATTTTGATGGGTTAAAATCATCCAATTTAAAGCATATTATTTATAAAAAAATTGAAGAAAAAATAAAATGGAGGGAGCTTTAGTATCACAAATCCACAAGAAAAGTGGATTTGAAATGAATCATAATGAAACAGATCAATATCATACATTTATAATGTGATTTTTTTCAGTTATGTGAAATATCATACCAAAACTTATCATTTAATTGTAATTTTTTTAAATGATTAAATTGCATATTTATTTCTGTACTTTTTTTTTTGAAAAGTGCTGGGCACTTTGTACTAATAAGTGGACCATTTTTTTGTTCTAAATCATTCTCCATAGTAGCAAAAAACCTCATTAGTGATCCATTAATAGAGAAAGATTTTTGCTTATCTAGAAACTAGTTTAAGAAAAATATCATGCTTATTAATACAGGTTGTCAAGCACTTTTCAAAAGAAAATATAGGAACAAAATATATTTTAACCCTTTTTCAAAAAATTCATGCAAAAAAATAAAGAAATTAGTGGGTTAACCTATTTAACCTACCAACTCATGATGGTTGAAATTTTTTTAATTCATGTAAAATTTATTGAACCCAACTCAACACATATTTTTTTAACTTATACAAATTATCTCATATGATCTGGAGAAAGAGGAATGACTGGTGGGCGATGGCAAAGTTAAGAAGGGAACATCACATATGTCTGTGCTGGAGACGAGGATGAGCACTGCCCCAATGTTGTTAACATTGATAAAGGTGCATTAACCGTAGAGAATTTTACTTGAGGTGCATCAAAAGGAGTATCATTCTTTTTTACTTAAAAAGAGAAGGTTCAAATGAATTGAATCCCAAGAAATTAAAAATGCATGCCTTAAACAAGTGATAGAAGGTCTCGTCATTTAAATAAGCAATTGAGAGATTCAATTTCAACCCTTATACATATGACAATTTCGTTAAAAAAGGTCTCACTTTCACTCTCAATATCTCATGAGAAATGTTATCTGCTAGTGGCAGAATCTACTTCATTTGCTTATAAATAAAAAACACATGCCTCAAGGCTTAGAAGGTGTTAAAATACTAATGGATTAGTAGATTACCTGTCAATAAAACCCATTTATATACAAGATGATTTGTTGGTTTTTTTTTTTTTTAACCAGCCTATACAAGATGATTTGATCTGAACTAATCTAAGTTTTCGTCGGCTAAATAATCCTCGGGACTGCGGACACACAGAAGCATAAATTACCTCCAAAAATCCAACTGAAAATTCCATCTTCTTCGTTTCCTTGCTCCAAGTTTTAAGCTTCGTGGTCCAGAGCAGGAATGCGTCTCTTCCCTTCTTTTCTCATCCCATTCTTGAAATCTCAACTCATGATCCATAATCACCATCATTACCTTGGCAATATGGTTTCATCGAATTCCTCTCAAATAAATTTTTTTTTAAAAAAAAAAAAACCCCGCCGTCCAGTGGCATTCTCGTTTTCCTCCATCCCTTGTAAGCTTAATAAATTTATATCAGGCAACAAAATTAAGAAAGAACGAGGAAATAAAGGATTCAAGACAATAGAAACAGCAGATTGCCAAAATAGATCTGTTAGAAAAGAAACAGATTTACATAGGAACTTAATACAGAAGCAATACCTATTTTAAAAAAGCTGTCTTTAAGAGAATGATATTAAAACGGGGGGAAAAAGTTGCACCATAAGGGGTTAAACCTATTCAACGGATAGCTTTACAGAGATCAAGGGAGACTCGAACTCATCAATCCCCACGACGACATAAGCATACTTATAGGCTGATAAAAATGGTTCCGCCCTGCCGTGTCATTTCGTGTGGGAGGCGATGGGCCAAACCAGGTATGAAATTCCATAGTCGTTCACTTCCTTTGCAGTTATTTGCAGAAGGCCTGTGACACAAGAATTTTCAGCAGATAAACTAGTAAGTATGACTAATCTGCATGCATATCCATGGCGGAATCATTGGCACTGAATGCGGCAGAATCCCTGCTCTGCTGCTGAAAAAAGCCAGGTTCAGAGTTCCTGTTTCCATTACCCAAGGAGAGGCTGGTAGGGCAGGACCCACCCTCACCAATATGATAGTTCTGAAGACTTTGGCGAACAGGGCTAGACAAAGCATTTGAAAACACAGAATTCTTCTGTTGATTATCGCCATTCTCAGACCGAAGTCCCTGAGCAATGACTGTTTGGCCAGAAGAACCTGGAGTTACTGGGAAGCCTGCGCCATTGACATGCATTAATGGTTGAGACTGTTGATGTTGAAGTGGTGCTCTAGGAGACAATGATGGCTCCTCTCCACAATAATCCAACTCATTCTGCAAGCAGTGGAGTAAATTTCATAAACCAATACTTTTGAATCACTAAGCCACCTCAAGATTATCGACATCGTCATCACTTTCCACAAAAATGCGGCTAATGCAACTACAACTTCAAGATATCTAAATTGCCACAAGAAAACACAAGCTATCAACCATGCTCACCATTTTGATCCAGGAAATTGTCAATCGCAAATTTCCAACATGGTAAAAGAAGAGATCAGAGGTTATTATCGCCTTATTTTACACCACTATGCAAATAAGCATATATTTGTTACTTAAAAAGGAAAAAAATCAATCTATGTTTAACCACAACACAAACTGCTATAGTCATTAAAAAAACAACGTATTACTTTGATGGGTCCCAAAGTGGGATGGAAAATCCTACCCCAAAAGCTAGCTGTTGAGATAAGAGACCCCAAAAGCTAGCTGTTGAAATAAGAGAACTAACCCATTTAAATACCCTGTTGAACATCCTATGCTACTCAAAGTGGCACTTGGTATATGAAATTACCAAGTCTCCATCAATTGCCCCCCACAGAAAGCCAACATCCTAGCAGCCACAATCCATGGCACTAAACTCACCTTTCTGCTCCGTCAGTAGCCCTCTCCAAAATCACTGACAACCATACTCTGATACCAATTGATAAGGTACCTAAGTGGAATGAGTGACCCTACCCCAAAAGCAAGCTGTTGAGGTGGAAGAACCAGCCCAATTAAATATCTCATTGAGCATCCCATATTACTCAATTTAGAGCTTGGTATCTCATATTACCACGTCTCTATCATACTCTTAACATCAACACCCAAAAAAAGTGACAAAATACAGCAATAAAAGAAGAGTTCACAGACAAAGCAGCTGACAAAAGGTTACTGACAGTAAAAGTGTCTACACAAACGAGTTAACTACTTAACAAGTAAATAAAGTATGCTGAACCAGTGAGACAACTCTCTCTCTATCCTTCTAAAGTAATTAAAAAAAAAAATCACTTCTGAACTAATCATGGGTAGGCTAAAGCCTAATTTTTAAAGCATTTTATTAGGCTTGGCTAAGATCACTTAAAAAACTTTATTAAACTCAATGGCTAACCCCCTATCAATGGTAAAATCAATAGTCAACTATTGCTTTAAATGAGAAGAAATATGGTCTAAAACTGAGTTCAGTAAATCTACTGTTCTTTCATAATGTAAAATTTCTTTCCAATGCTTCCATTACTATCGTCCAACTGCCTCCATCCCCTTCTCACTGATACACACAGAAACACCCATGCCGAATTAGTAGAAGGATGCACACACACACACACACACACACACACACATATATATATATATTTATTATACAGTATTCAGCTATCATTGTTAATTATCAAGAGTTCTCGGGATAACTTAGTAAGGTTACAAAGTATCATATGCTACTGATTTGTAGATAGATTGAGCCAACATCAACTTTCTTATGCATTGAATTGGCAAAAGAAATCCACTTAATCTTGAGAATGGAAGGAGACGTATCATAAGCAAAAGAGCGAACAGTCAAGCCAACCTGAATGTAGCTAAGTATATCAACTGGTGCAACTCTTGATCCACCCTCTTGCTGTCTCCAGATCCACTGATAGAGTTTCTCCTGAAATGATATATAGGATAAGTTAATTGACCAAGCTACTTGCAGCCATATACAGACATCCAAGCTCCATAAAATCTGAAGTCAGACAGAACATGGCATTGCACCGACAATGAGATCATAAACTGTTATGACTTTTCAAGTCGTCAGAACTTGAAAGAAAACTATGCACGGGTTACTTAATACACGTCTTTTCTTATAAACTGTGATTCAAGCATGTCAAGTACCCAATGAAATTTAAAATTGTTTACCCTAGCGACCACGCTGTTAAAAAACAAGGGAAAGAGACCAAAAACAATGGCTATATTGGTCAAGAAATTTTACGTAACAGAGAATTGAGAAAAGACATAATTTCAGAAGAGGTTACGATTTGAAATCAGCCTCCAAAGCCTAGCAACAAATCCATTCAATGGACAAGAAGGCACTGGACTAAAGCATGATTAATTGATACGAAGCAGCACAGTATAAATCTAACGAGATCGGACCAGGATACAACAATCCATGATTACAAAATAGAGCGAATGATAAGGGCTGAGATTGAACTGAACAATTACAAAGTAAAACAATAGACATTAAACTGAGCAGTAAGAAAATCGCTGAAACCTTATAAAAAATTAAAAATGAAAATACTCTATTGGGTTCAAAAGATTGCAAAACAGAAGAGAAAAGCATATGCCCTACCTATATGGATTCAAACATTCATTTAACTATAAAAAATAGCACACCAAACAAAGTTTCATAAAGATATAATGTCTTCGCACCAACAGAATTATCAGTGAAGATCATAACAGAAACTTTATCATCATCTATCATGAGAAGCGGTAAAAGGGGGGGAAAGGACGAGGTGGAGCGAAAGCCTCTGCTGGGAACAAAATTAATCTTTACAAGTAAAAAGGCAGCATCAATGAATGCATCGAAATTGCAATTCATAACCCCGTTTCACAAAATCTAAAAATTGGGTGCAAAATTTTCTCGGGTCAGGAGGAGAAATCTTACGAGGCCATGGCGTTCCCCGGCTTGAAACGAAAGCTTTTGGTGGTTCATAGCCTGAGTGTATAGCTGAGAGAGGGAATTGGCGGCACTACAAAAGGAGGCATACATGGTTCGATCCACCTCATCGAGGCTTGAAGCTATGGACTTTCTCTTCTTAGCCATGTACTCAAGGACGACCCTTTTGTCGGGGGTAGAGGATCGCGGCCCAAAACTGCGGTGGCTGTGATAGGAATCGCGGAGAAAGAAGAGAGGGTGTGGGTTGGAAGAAAGAAAGAGAAGGGGAAAGGGGAAAAAGGTGAAGGGAAGAGGGTGGTGTGGTTGCTTTTGTTGTTTTGCGGAGGAAGGTTTCAGAGACGGGAAGGGACGGGAACACATGGTCCGTATCAAGGGCATGCCAGACACGTGACAATCGCTCCAAGCATGTCTGGGAAATTGATAATTCTGATAATCTGATTCACAACTCAGCTGTTTAACAAAGAGCTGTGTTATATAAATATATACACACACACATATTAAAAAAATGTCTGCTCATAACTTCACTCTTGAAAGGAATAATTTGTGCATGAAAATGATCCAAAAACAACGTCCTATTACTATTATTATTATAAAAAAATTAATCTTTTAGTCCTTTAATTTTTAATTTATTTATAACTCAGTCCTTCAATGATGACTTGCTGTGACTCAATTCCTCAACTATAACTTGCCTATAACTCAATCTCTCAATTTTTGAATCACTTACAAATTAGTCCCTGAATTTTTATTAATTTTTTTATGTTAACTTATATCTCACATCAATGAGCAAGAGGAGGGTATTTTAGAATAATATATGAGTATTTTTTTATTCCTCTTATTTGATAAGAAATTTTTTAAAAAATTAAAAAATAAAGATCGAATTATAGGTGAATTAAAAGTTGAGGGACTGAATCGTAGCGAGTTATAATTGAAAAATTAAGTCACAATAAGTCATAATTGAGGAATTGAGTTATAAATGAATTAAAAATTAAAAAATTAAAATATTAATTTTTCATATTATAAATTATATATGGATGATAGAATTGAAAGAAATTATTATGAGTGAAATGAAATGGAATGAGACAAAGTAAAACATAATGAAATATTCAATTGTTTGGAAGTCTTATAAGTGAAATAAATAATTTTATTTAATTATTATTTAAAAATAATTATAAAATTAATATATTTAAATTGGATATAATTATGTTTTTAAATTTAAGGATGGGAGTAAGTGGAATAGTTAAAAGGTAAGAAGAATAGAGATAATTTTATAATAATATTATTTATATTAAACTATTTCATCAACAATCCCCAAATTGGGGAGTCAGAAAAAATTTGTTTAAAATGGTTAATAATAACTTGAAAAGCCACCAAGCCATTTTACTCTTCTTTTCTTTTCTTTTCTTTTTTAAAGAAAAACTCTCAAACAATTTTATCAAACTTCTAATTATGCTACTCCGTTACATTCCATCATAAAAAAAAACGTGCAAACACTTCCTAAAGGTAAAATAGTGGGTATTATTACTTCACTATTTTTTATGTATATAATCTATGGTGCTGATGATTATATTTGACGAATAGTGTGTCAGCTTTATATTATGTTGTATATAACATTGCTATATTGATCTTTTCTTTAATTTGCATGCATTCATGGGGAGATTGTTTTTACATGATTCCATCCAATATTTCAGTTTAAAAGTGATAAAGCTTTCATAAAATTTAAAATGGTATGTTAGTGATAAAAAATTAAACTAAATATACCAACTTTTTGGGTAAACATATGATGAAAGCTGGTAAAAGAAAAAAAGAAAAACAAAACTAGGGCTTATTTGACAACTTGTTTTGAAAATAGTTTTTTATTATCCAAAACCCAACAAAAAAAACATTTCTATGTGTGTTGTCAGTGTGTTTGGAAATTAAATTATGTTTGAAAAATTATCTGCTAAGTGGGATGCTATATATATTTGTATACATACATACATTGTTTAGTATGAAATTTTGTGTTTGAAAGCATGAAAAAGTGTTCAGATATATATTTTTTGTTTGGATATATTCTAATATGCATGACTTGTTGGGTTTGAAATATATGTGTGTTGGTGATTTCTATTTAGAGATATTATACCACATGATATGCTTTCAATAGACCCAATGAGTGGCACTTAGCTTGGATTATCTTTAATTGGATTTGTTGATTTCAGGTATGGTGTGAGGAGGGATACAAGGTGTGTCATGCATTTTTGTTCAAATTGTTTTGATAAATTGTGTTTGGAAACCTATTATGATATACCCACTTACTCAAAACATGGTTAATTGCATCACATATATCATTACATATTAATTTTGATTATTGAAATCTTTGTATCTCATTTTTCTTGGTTAATATTTTTACAGGAGCGAGTCCAGTTAGGGGAGCACTAGAGGCCTAAATTGGTGTATGAGACACCAGTTTATTTTGTCTTGCCTCTTTTTGGGTTATGTATTATATAATTGCCAACCTAGAATAATTATGATTACAATTGGACATGTAGACCCTATATTTTATTAACTCATATATGGTGTCATGAAGATTTTTTCTATCTCTCATGGTTCTGATTGCTTACTTGAAGTATTGATACTATGATCAAATTTTTAGAAAATCTTGATTAGCTTTTTATGATTATACAATTGTGTTGAATGATTGTAATCCAACTATGACTTTATTTTTTTTTATTTAAGGTATGTTTGCTAGATGATGTTAATTGTAAATGTGTTGGATGTAACATCCCAAAATTTAATTTAAGGATTTAAATTAATTAATTAGTTATTTAAGTAATGTATTGGGTTAATTATAGTTAATTATTGGGTTAGGATGGCCATTTAAGTGTATTAGACCCCTTAAAGGATTTAGGATAAGGTTTGAGAGGCTTTAGGTCTGAATTGGGCCAAAAATTAAGGCTTTAGTTAAGTTGCTTGTTTTAAGCTATTCACCACGGCGAACAAGCACAAGTTGTTGTAGTAAGTATGTTATAATTTTAAAATCATAGAAACACAATCAAATAGCATTTTGAGAGACTTTTTAGGAGAGAAACTAAGATAAGGGTGATGTGCTCAACTAGGGTTTGCCCTTTGGGAAGTATCTTAAGCGTTTTAGAGTATTTTAAGTATTGGGTAAGCTCTAAATACTTTTCTCCTACCTTCTTTTAGGGTTTTATTTTTATGGTGAGTGAAAATATGAACTTAGGGTTGAGTTGCAGCAACTTCTAAGGTATTAATGGAGGTTATGATTATTATTTAATACTTTTATATCTAGGTTTTAGCGGTTGACATCTAGTAATGTAATTCTGATGCTAAATAATTAAGTTAAGGCTATTTGGAGCTAATGACAATGGCAATTAGGTTGATTGGGAGTTAAATAACTAATATAAAGTAGTTTTGGGTTAGATAAGCTTAATCATGCTTAGTAGAAGATTAAGCCCTAATCATGATTAATAAATAATTAATTATGATTAGTCATTAATACGGTTTCTTTGGCTTTATGTGTAAAGCATAGTGTACTAGAGCTTAAGTTGGTAGGAAGCTTCCTTTACAATCTAAATTTACACTTTTGAAGTAGTAAACCCAATAGTTGATGTAATTAAGACTCTAATTAATGCGAATCATTGCATTCGTGGTTATGACTAATTTAGCTACAATGATTTATATAAATAATTGACATGGACTTGTTATGTGATTGATGGCTTAAATGTAATGATGTAATAATAGAATGTCTAGTCGAATGGCTAATTTATGGTTATATGTTTGTTGATTTGCCATGTAACTTGAGCATGCAAATTACGAGTAAGATGGATATAATTAGAGATTGCTAAAATTGCATGAGTTAATATACTATATTGGATAAAGATTATACGCTATAATTTGATGAATATGTGATCATGAACTATAATAGAATGCAAGTACCATTGTTTAAATCATATGCCTGTTGTATATGTTTAATTCAACTGGCATAAGCCCAATGTGTGGGAGTTTACCTTAGATTAGTTAAATCCACGTGGTGTAATCTTCACTAAGTTTGCGAACAATGGTTGGTATCTTTGATTACTAAAGTGCTTGATATTGTCAATAACCTTTGGGTGTGGTATAGATCGAGCACAATGATCAGTATCACTGATTCTATACTAGACAGTATGGGTTAGGCAATATATGACACTTTAAAATTTGAGTCAAGAAAACTCATGATCTGAGATTAAGTGTGGAAATTTTTGGCCAGGTGACCCCTCACAATTGGAGAGTTAGTCTAGCTTTAGTCATATGAATTGGACCCGTATATTTTAAATAGCTAATGGGTTTAGTCTAATGATATAAGAAGGGATACAAAGTGGTTGCATTACTTATAAGCATTTATATATTGGAATTGAGTTATGTGGCATTTTAGTTGCAAGGTTATTGCCTACTTTATTATATAACTACCACACCTTCATATGTTTTTTTAAGTTTCTTGGTTATTAAGATTGTTTAATCTCACTTCAGTTAGTTAATGTTTTTCTAGAAGACAATAAGATGAAGGGAAAGGGTAAGGCATTGACGCCAAAGAACTAAAGATATACTTGTAATGTATCTAGTCAGCATTTATGTATTTGAATGTTATTTTTCCAACTTCAGGACAAGTTCTATGTACTTATTAAATAGAAGATTTATAATTCATTTACATATAAGCCTAATTGTTAACTTAGACAATTTAGTTGGTTGTTGCCTTTGTGTTTTGGTTAAGAGGCTAGTCATGCAAATGCTTAGTTTTTGATGATTAACTAGTTAACTTTATGTGAAAGTAATTAAATTCATGTTTTGAATCTTCAAGCATGATTTGAGTATTGATGTATGATTAAAATTGCTAGACTTGGTTTGACGAATGATGGGAGGTAATTGTATTTGAACACAGAGTCTAAAGGCTCAAATTGTCCCATCGTGTCCCAGGATCCTTAAGTAGTACTAGATTGGATTATATAGTGTACTATTGTTAGATTGTTTTAATTATTGTATAAGATGTAACATCTTGAATTTTAATCCCTAGATTGATTAAGCTTAATTATGATAATTAAGTAAACTAACATGGTGTGTGATTATGAAGGTTTAATGCCTAATTTTGGGTTGTGTTTCAACCCTAATTATGGGTCTAGTATGAAGCCAGGCTAATCGGACATCGAAAGGAGAAGAAAACAAGAAAGAAGTGCTTTTGTGCTACACGCAACAATATGTAATACGTCTTCCATGGTGCACAAACACAATTGAAGCAAGAAGGGACCTTTCTATGACATGAACCGCAGCACGTGTAGCAATCACAAATTGAGGCATATAAAAGAAAGCAAAGAAAGAGAAAATGAAGAACCAGTGAGGAGCTCTGCTAGAATTTATACTTGGGTAATATTTGGGACGTTTTGGAGTTAGAAACACTTAAGGTAAATGCCCTAAATTTTATTTTTTCTAATCTCTTCCACATTTATAAAGTTTGTGGGTAGGGTTTAATGGTGGGAGATGATTTTTGATCTATATAGATTATAAGTCCAAATTCATTGACTCAAATGAAGTTAATGAGAGTATATTTAAGTATTTAAACCTAGAGATAATGATTTTTTAGATTTTTGGTTATTGTACTGTTGTACCTTGTTAATATGTCAATTTAGCATTAATGAGAGTTGTTGGAAGAGTTGTAATGCCATTAATAAAAGTTTAATTGTTCATTAAGATTATTGAGGACTAACAAAAGTTAATAAACCTAATGGGTAAGCCTAGAGGTGAAAATTGGGGATGTTGGGTATTGTAGAAGTGATAGTGTGAGAGTTGATAGTGTGCTTTTATCATGTTAATGAATCCAAAAATTTGTAGATTATAGATTGAATTCTTGAATCACCATTGTGGCTTAGGAAGTCAAGTTTGGAAACTAGAATATTGAGGGGTAAATATTTGACCTCTCAAAAATTTAAAATAACCAAAAGACTTTACTTTAAGTAGTTATTTATTAATTGTAATGCAATGTGAAATGTGTGTTTAGCATGTGATTTGTGACTTGTGAAATGTGTAACATGCTATAAAACTATGTGTTTATATAATTAGGGGTGAGCAAAACCAAACCGAAACTGAAAACTGAATTGAACCAAATTGCATTTGATCTGTTCGGTTCGGTTTATTCAGTTTAAAAGGTTGGTTCGGTTTTTTTAAAAAAATATTTTGGTTTGAATAGTTCGGTTCGGTTTGAAAATTGTGAAACCGAATAAACCGAAGTAACCGAAATTAATTAGATACATTTATAATTATAAATATTATAATTGATTTATATTATTAAAGATTATATTTTTTAAAATACTAATATCATATATTTATTGAAAGAGGGTGGGGAAAAAACGTAGCCCAGTTGACAGCCCAGTCCATTATCAGTCTCTGCCACAGACCCACAGTGCCCTTCTTTTTTTTAGCAAAAGCTACAGTGATCAGATTAGTCTCGGCCCATAATCAGTCTCAGCCCAGTCTGCGTCAGTCATTACTTCTCGGCTTCTCACTCTCGGCTCTCGCTCGATCGCTCCCAGAGTCCAGAGACTCAGATCAGACATCAGAGAACTTAGGTTTAGCTTCTATCTCCCACTCGGCCACTCCACAGTCCACACAAAGTCACGACTCACGACTCACGAACCCTAACAAATAGAAATCTCTATGAGGCTGTGACTCTGTATCTGAATATCTCTATCTCACATTCACGATTCAGGCATCCTTTGCAGACTCTGTATTTGAGTATCTCTCTCTCGATCTCGACTTTGTATCTGAGTATCTGAGTATCTGCGAGCGAGACTGTGACTCTGTATTTGAGTATCTCTCTCGGTCTCAGGCTTCGTCTCCCTCAACTCCATCATTCTCTCGATCTCGGCTCGGATCAGTGTTAATTTCCCTTTGCCTTAGATCAGCGTTCATCTCCTTTCATTTTCTCAAGTCCAGTTCGTCTGAGCTCAAGCTTTATCTTTCTTCTCAAATAAGGGCAACTTATAAATGCAAGGTATGGTTCCAGCTAGCGACTTTCTTCATCTCATGTTTTTGAACTTTTGAGAAGTATGTCTTAAGCTTTATTTTGTTGAATGGTTCAGATGTCTGGCTCCCATGAAGGTGAAGGACAAACAATCACTCCAAACAGCCAAACACTAACTCCATCTTCAACATCTAATACTAAAGTGAGTTCAAGAAAAAGGAAGGTCATACAGCCAAGGTCTGAAGTTTGGGAGCATTTTCACAAATATGTTAATGAGCATGGAGAAACCAAAGGTAAGTGCAATTATTGTGAAAGGGAGTTTTTCTGTGATCCAAAAGGAATGGGACTACTGCACTTAAAAATCATATGGGTGTGTGTAAGAAACGGCCTCCTCCTGAAGAAGGCATACAGACCCATTTAAATTTTGGTATAGATGATAATGCTTCTATTCTTGCTAACTAGAAATTTGATCAAGAAGCAATTAGGAAATCTTTGGCAAACATGGTTATAACTGATGAACTTCCTTTCAAATTTATTGATGGGTTTGGGTTTAAACGCTTTATGGCTGCTGCTCAACCAAGATTTAAGGTTCCTTCTAGATAAACAGTGGCTCATGATTGTTTTAAAATTTACATGGATGAAAAAATTAGATTCAAAGACCACTTGATTAGAAACAAACAAAGGGTTTGTCTAACAACTGACACTTGGACTTCTATTCAAAGAATCAATTACATGTGTATTATTGCTCATTTTATTGATGCTGATTGGAATTTAACTAAGAGGATTTTGAATTTTGTTCCAATATCTAGTCACAAGGGGAGGGATATTGGAATAGAAATTGAGAAGTGTTTGCTTGAATGGGGAATTGATAAAGTGTTTACTATTACGGTAGACAATGCTGCTTCTAATGATGTTGCTTTATTGTACTTGAAAGAAAAAATTTCTAATTGGGGCTTTTCTATCATGAAGTGTCAGTTTCTACACATGAGATGTGTTGCTCACATTATAAATTTGATTGTTGTTGATGGGTTGAGATTAATAGGGAGTTCTGTGAAGAGAGTTAGGGAGGCTGTTCAATTTGTTAGGCAATTTGCCCTTAGGATGAAAAAGTTTAAAGAGAGTTGTGAGGATGAGAAGATTCAAAGTAAGAGCCTTTTAACTTTAGATGTCTCTACTAGATGGAACTCCACTTATTTAATGTTGGAGAGTGCTCAAAAATTTGAGGCAGCTTTTAAGAGGTTTGAGGACAAAGACCCTTACTTTCGCATTGATCTTGAACAAGGGGAGGGGGTGCCTGATGCTGCTGATTGGAGGAATGTTAGAAGGATGGTGATGTTTTTAAGTCATTTTTATGAGATGACCTTGCGTGTGTTTGGTGCTTTTTATGTTACATCCAATAGCTTGTTTTATGAGATTTACATGATATATCGCCTTTTGGATGAATGGACAAAGTGTGATGATTTTGAGCTATCATCAATGGCTTTTAAAATGAAAGAAAAATATGACAAGTATTGGGGAGATCCTTTAAAGATGAACTAACTCATTTATATTGCTGCTGTTCTAGATCCTCGATATAAGTTGGAATGGGTTTAATTTGCTCTTTGTAAAATGTTTAATGATAAAGGTGAAAATTTGGCAAAGCAAGTGAAGGATGTTTTCATTGCTTTATATCATGAATACAAAGAACATGTCTCCTCCTCTAAGCAATCTGAAAAGGAGCAACTTGTGAATGAAATCCAATCTGATTTTGGTGATAAGGATAACCCTGCTATGAAGGTTAGAAAGTTGCTTGAATCAAAAAAGAGAAAATTTTTAAGTGACCGCCTTAGTGGAAAAAGTAATAGGACTGAAGTTGATAAATATTTGAATGAGGAAATTGAAATAGATAGACCTAACTTTAATATCTTGGGCTGGTGGAAATTGAATGGTCCTAGATTTCCCATTCTTTCAAGGTTGGCAAGTGATGTTTTGACAATACCAATATCCACAGTTGCTTCAGAATCTATGTTCAGCACTGGAGGACGTGTTTTGGATGCATTTAGGAGTTCTTTAACTCCTAAAGTTGTGCAAGCCCTTATTTGTGCTGAAGATTGGCTTCGTCACTCCATTCCTGTGGTTGTGGAAGAGAAATTAGATGATATTCAAAGGATTGAAAGAGGTAAAAATTTTATAATGTTATGTATGTGCAATGTTACCTTTAAAATTCACTTGTTTACGATTTAATTTAACTCCTAAATTGATTTATTTGTAGATTTTCAAAGAATTGGATTAGAATCAGCAGTGGATATAGTTTGAACTCTTTAAGGTAACTCTTCATTATTGCTGTCCATGGAAATTGGTTCATGTAGTTGTGATATTTGTTTTATTATTGCTTTTTGTAGTTTTCTAACTTCTGGTGCCTGGTGGACTGTTGGTTTTGTTGCTGTCTTATTCTAGTCTTTTTGGTGGTTAGTTTTGTAATAAGCTTGTTCATTTTTTTAGTTTTGTAATATTTTGGCTAGATGTTTAACTATTTTCTTTTATAATATAGGCTGGAGCAAAGATTTTATGTCATTGACAGCTAACAACTTGTGATGATCTAATGGATTAGTTATTTTAGATTATATTAAAACTCTTGAACTTATTTGTAATTTTTTAAGGGATTATTGTTGTTATTTGGTGGATTATTTTGGATTGTTAAGAATTTATATTAGGTAAATTATCAATTTATAAATTATGTATTTTTTGCTCTTCTTCTTCAACTTATAGGTGTAGATCTGAATGACTGAATTTGATTATTTTATTTTTTAACATTTTCAGATTTTATAGCCTTATAAGGTCTATTTAAAAATCCCTTAATTCCCCCTTTTAGATTTTAATGTTTTAAATTGTTTGTTGATCAGCATTTTTTTTAAATAAGCCCAAAATGCTGTCAAAAAAGGCCCAAAATGCTGTCAAAAAAGGCCTAAAATGCTTCCAAAAATAGGCCTAAAATGCTGCAAAATCAGGCCCAAAGTATTGTAAATAAGGCCCAGTAACCGAAATACAAAAACCGAATCGAACCACTAAACTTCGGTTCGATTCCACTTTGGTTTTTATAAACTTTCAGTTTGGTTCGGTTGAATAAATTGATAAATTTTAGTTTTTTCGGTTCACTTAAATCAGAACCGAACCGAACCGTTGGAACCGATACTCACTCCTATATATAATTGCTTAAAAATGAATTTTAAAATTGCAAAAGTGATTTTGAAATGAGTTGCAATTTTGCAATATGGTATGAAATTAAATAGTTGATGATGAATTTGACAAAAAGGAATGTGTTGCGTTTGAAAATGAGTATAGTTTATGTGATAGATGTGAAAATAAGTATTGTCTTTCACTTTAGTAGTACATGATTGTGAGCCCATTGTGTTGATTCCAATAATGAATAAATGAAATTTGTAAAAATAAGTGAGCAATGTACATGGTATGATCAATAGGCAGGAGTTCGCCTAGGGATTGAGAGTAGTTAAAATCTATATGATATTTCAATCATCCTCCAATACACGGGGTATAGCCTCATTCCACAATTTATTGAGGGATTAAAACCCAACTATCTCCACTAATTTATCAAGAAAAGTAGCCTAGGGTATATGACACCCTAGGGATTTGAGAGAAGGAAAAATCATGATTTAAAAATGAGTATTGTGATCTTTGTCCAGGTCACACTTTACAATTAGTGAGCTTAGATGATCCAAGCACACTAATAAAGTCTTATTCGATGTTATAACTCATAATTTCAGTTGGAAAAAATAAGGATGGTTGATCATTGCTTATATAAATCTATGACATGTCGCATGATTGAGTTATGGCAAGTTATATTGATATCAGGTCATGGTCATATGTCTAAATCTCTCATGACTATATACCTTGTGATTTAAAAAGGAAGGAAATTAGTTGAGAAGTGATGTGTTGTGTAATATGTGAAACAATATAATGTATGTTTTCAAGAAAAATCTATTTCTCATACTCTTATGTTTATTTTAATTAATATATAATTACATAGGGTAGGTTTTACTTTAGTTATTGAGAGGTTAGATTCACCCCTTTCATTTAATATTTTACAAGCTTTAGCTTTAGTATTGAGAGGGACAAAGCCGCTGAGGCTTAGAAATTTGTGCATTTCTTTTTATATGCCTATAATATTCATTTACTTTGTGTAATAGTATATTATTGTCAATTTAGGATGCATTTGGTCACACTTGTACTACATAATTTATTATGTTGTTTGGATTGTATTTTGGGCCTAAGAAATTATGTTTGATAAGTTATATATATTGATAGGGTCAAAATACTAGTGCAAGTGTAGAATTGTTGTTTTAAACATGATATGGTTGATTTAGAAAGCAATGTAATGAAATTACCTCCCCCTTCTATGTTGGTATTAAAGGGGTTAAGGAGTAATTTTATGTTATTCAGATATTTGAGCGTATGTGATATATTGCACTAATAGTCGTAGGTCTAATGAATATGGTTTGGGTGTTAGGAATGGCTTTTGACACTTGTATTGAATTCTGGACACATTTTAGTTGTGAAAAATGGTGAAAATGTACTTGAGTGTCTAACTTTCTAATGTGACTTGTTTTAGAAGTAAAACCTGTGTTATTAACTATTTATGAAAAGAGCTTTCTATTAACACCTAGATCATGTCATTTGGACATCGAACAAAAATTTAGTGCGCGTTAAAATTTCTTGATTCTAGTGTCAAATGACAATAGAATCTGCTATCAAGAACGTGCAACACACCATAGCACATTGGTGCTTGAGCCATGATGTATGGCATAGAATGTAACAAGCTGCAACGCAAAGTGTACGAGCTATGACAAATTACTCTGTTTTTCAACAAACTTGATGTTTTTAACTTCTTTCACTCCTTTGAGATATCTTATACATTTATAACTTGTTTTTACTTTGATTAAAGAGTTGATGAATGGATTTAACTTATTTCAACTTATAAAAACTTGGGATTCCTTTATTTTGAAAGTATAACTTGGTAATCTCTTTATGGGTTTAACCCCTGACTACCTTAGTTTATTGTCTTAATGGTGATTAAATAAGGGCGTATTATATAGGAAGGCTTGGATAGCTTTAGTTGGAGGGCCGAGTGATTAATTAGGAAGATATAAAGCTAGGTGATGCTTATTGTTTTCTATCATGTCCACGAGGGTTCCCCATGTTGAACAATAAGTTTGGCCGCTATGAGCGAGCAACTTTGAGTTAGTAGTAGCAAGTGAGCGCATGAGAGCTAGCCATAATGAGTGAGTATTTTGCTGCAACAATCATGTCAAACCGCAATTAGCCACAACAAACAAGTTCAATAAGACTATAAATAATTGTTTACCTTTCTTGTGTCCTTTTTAAATGCTATGCATTGTAATTCCATGTTTCTGCATATTTCCAATATACGCTAATCTTTAGAAAAGAGTTTTAATTAACCTTGATTGATTCTTTAAGATCCCAAATTCCTAGTTACTCTTTAATAAATAATTTAATTACTTACTATGTGGTTGATCCGTTTGTCAAGTCATTGGCTTGTAGAGTTAATATAGACTAATGACAAAGTTCATTTTATTATGGTCAAGTGTACATCTTAAAGTAAATTTTGGATGAATCATGGTATCAAAGTGGGAAAAGCATTGTTTGAACCCATTTTAGATATTGATGATTAACCTTATGTTTGAAAAGTATGGTCATCCAACTAGAGGTCAATGTACTTGTTAGAGGTGTATATTTGAATCATTTTGTTGACTGTTATATGTATTTGACATAATGTTTAGGATTAAACTGCCTTAGGAACAACGCTTTTTGCCTATTTATGTTTTTCCAATCAAATGGTAAATTTTTATATATTTGTTTGCAATGAGATCCTATTGGGTACCTTTATTTGATACCAATTCCATTGATATCTATTTAATTACATTATTTAATTTCTAAACTATCAAGATAGGCTTCTTTTGTCGTGTTTAAACATTTTCTACCATAATAGTTCATTTATAAAATATTTCATTGTAATGGAAGCTCTTTCTACCATGCTAGGGTTTTAAAAAAATAATATTTAAAGTTATTTCTACCATGATAAATAATGGTTTACCATGGTAGTATTTTGAAAAATTTAGTTCCACTCTTTATCATAATGATAGACACTTTTCTATTATGGTTAATGTTTTTAATAGTTAAGGTTTGAATATTAAATTGTATTTTCATAAAAAATCAATGTAAATTTTTAGAGTGTTACACTGAGATAGTGGACAATGAATGACGAGCTTGGCTGAGAAGACAATAAGGAAGAATGTTGACCTTTGAAGAATGATGAGGGCGACCACAATTGCAAAATGGTGGTGAAAAGAGCATAGGGAAATTTGGAATTAGGGCACAGAGCGATGAGCGTGTGCAATTTGAGAGTTGAGAATGATTAAAAGAGGAGCCAAAGTCCTTTCATATTCAAAAAAAAAAAATAATTTTCCCTAGTTCAAGGCTGATTTGGGCAGTTCACTAAAAGTTCTTCCTCCCTTTCATTTTGCCTTGCTTCTGGACCAATTGCCTGGTCGATTGTCAATTAAACCAGTTTAATAGGCTAGCTTGGATAACTTTGTTTAATATAATGTTTTAATTTAAAATAAATGTAAAGTAATTTATTTATCATCAGCACTTTTGAAAAAAAATACATTAATGTTATTTTAAAACACTAAAAATATTTTATATTTTTGAACGTCTAATCTTTCAAAAAAATATCTTATATTTTTTAACGAAAAGAGTATCTAAAAATCATTTTAAGTTATACAAAAAATATTTAAGGGATATATATTTTTTACCTTTTTATTTGTATTTTAAATTTTTTTAGTTATGAAAACTTATTTGTTTAGCATTTCTAAAGAATAAAATACATAAGTTGGCTAAAATAGTATTCCAACATATATGCACAACTTACTGAAATAGATATTTAATATAATAAGATATAAATTATTCAATATAATTTACGTTTATTTTCATTTAAAATTTATAATTTTAATGTAATTTTTTAAAATTATTGTTTTAAATATTATTATACTTAATTATTTAAATATATTTAAATTTGACACAGCAAGTGGACAATTAGATTGTAAAAAAATAATTTTAAAAATTTTAACATAATTACAAATAAAAAATTAAATACTTTAGAATCTTTAATAAAATATTCTTTACGGTGTTTATGTTTTGAAAACATAAGAAAGGCCTTTGAATTTTAGTAATATAGAAGGGAAGTTAGTGTATTTTATTTCAAGATTTATTATAAAATAAATAATATATAAAAGACTTACATATATTAATTTGATTTGAAACAATCATCTTAAATACACAGAGCTAAATATATACTCCCTCCATCTAAAAATATAAGACATTTTTTAAGAAATTTGATATTAAAAAATGTAAGACATTTTTAGTCTTTTAAAAGTA